AATCATACAGCTGCAGTTCCGTACTTTTTTGAGCAATAGAAACCGGTGAGTCCTGATCATAGCCGACATTTCGATCATTTCGATCGTTTCGGCCACTTAAAGCCGCGATTCCAAGTGGATTGCCACTGTGCCATTGCAGACAATTGTCGTAGCGTCTTCGTTCGAGGTAAGACATTTGCTTTATATATTTATTATTGATGGTCGTTGTGTGTAGATAGGGCAATGTTGCATCCAAGTGCTTTGATTCTAACTTGAAGAATTTCAATCCAAGGTTTCTGCAGGATTTGATTTTCATCGGTCAGTGTAAATTTCCAGCTGACCCAATTAAATATGGCACAATGAACAATGTTCTATACATAAGATTACAATTATTTTCCTTTTACTTTTTATTTTCATAAAACCTATTGACATGGCGAGTGTATTATATAAAGTTTTTCATATAATAACATTATGCATCCACATTGGGTTTTTATTTAAAGTTGTCATTTAAAGGTTATAGAGTTATATATTGATAATTATTATGAATAATAGTACAATACCTATATATTTAGTATCTAGAATTAAGAGCTTCGCTAAAGTATACATAATTTATCTGTGTAAATTAAACTTAAAATTTTATTAACCAATTTTGAATAGCGCAATTTTATAAAATGTATATTAAAAAAATTGAGACAATGTTAATATGATAATGAGTATAAAGAAAAATGTATATAAAATTATAAGATTTAGATACAGAAACACAAATCAATTTTGACATTAATATATCAACATAAATAAATCTTCCCGTCCGGTTTTTCAAAATGTCTTAAGATATTGATTCATATTTTCCTAAAGCTTCTTATAAACTTTTATCTAATCTTCTGTATAATAATAATAATAATAATAATAATAATAATAATAATAATAATAATAATAATAACAATAATAACAACAATAATAATAATAACAATAACAATAATAATAATAATAAATAGTATTTTAAAATATTTTACCAATTACTGTTCTCATAGTCTTCAATATTTCATGAGTTTTGAAAATTGTCGATATAGTAATAGTTCCAAACTATACGTTAGTCACTTTATAAAAATCTCATTAAGAAAATAATTTATTCATAATATTGCAAGTATAATATTTAAGCGATAATTCAAGCCAAAAACTGAATTCTGTAATTCAGAATATAGTAAGATGTATATTATTTCACAATGAATAATTATAGATCCTGTACACACGATTTTTACAATAATTTTAGTTGAAAAAAAACTTTAATAAAATATGACATATAAATTGAATATTTTTCATTATTTTTATTGCTTTACTACGCAATAACAATACGAATTTTTCTAATTATTTACAATGACAAATTTTTTCATACATTTGTTGGAAAATTATAAGTAAATGTATGATTGGTGTATAAATCAGAGTACATATAATTTTGATTTTATTTTCTCTTTTCATGTACAAAATAATAAAAAATTTCATTGAAGGTATGAATTTAAGTAAAATATCATTGAATTATGTAAGATAAAAAAATAATTTGACTGACTTTATATTTATTTTCTCCTACAACAATGCCGTTCATGTATTGGAAAACCAATTATTTTGTTGTTGTTGTTTTTTTTTTTTTTTTTTTTTTTTTTTTTTTTGTTATTGTTCATATACGAACGTACTATTTTTTTTAACATATCCTTTTTAAATTGATTTATCTATTCTATATTATCAAAAAACACAATTTTTCATCATTTACTTTATTTCTTTATTTATATTTCTAATTGCACATATTTTTCATAAACGGTCATTTTGCTTTTCTGGAATATTCAAATACTTTGTTATTTAAATAGTTGATATTGCAAAGAAAGGTATTTTCGAGATATAAACATTCGTGAGAGAGAAAATTTGAGGTTTAAATAATAACTAATTAAAATTATTAATGAAATGTTAAACTTAAAAAATATTGAGCCTGCATATTTTTTAATTTAAATATTAAACAACATTTTATCGATCTATTCTAAGGATTTTTTTTTTTTTTTTTTTTTTTTTTTTTAATAAAAAAAATAATGAAACGAATGTTCATATTTGTATATTAATTTTATCGGCCTCATAAGCTTTGACAATGTTGTAATTATTTAACAATATTTTTTACGAGGCATGTTCTTTCAGTGACTGACGTACACGTTAAAGCTGACAATTAATAATAAGACCATGAACATTTGGACAGAAAATATACTTGGATGTCCGAATGATAATAATATTTGAAATATAAAATCACTTTATATTTTATATGATATTCACATGTGAGAAATGAGAAGAAGAACCGTAATAATCTGCTTTAAATTGAAAATTATCGATTAGGTTTGTGCTCCGAGCCGAATCAATTCGAGTAAACTAACTCATTTTCTATATCCGCACTCGTGACTTATCATTATCAACCGACTTTATCAATAATTATTTAATTTGATCCATTCAATTTGGACTTTAATTTAATTTTCCGCTTTCATTATGTAACGGACATTGTTTTATGACTAATAGTCAAAGAATCATTTTTTATCTGTCTTTGTACAAAGTATTCATGCTCCGAGTATAAGCAATATAAAGTTTTAATTCCTTAGCAAAAATATTTATCTACAATTTTCTCAGGTGTTTAATAACTATTGTTTAATAATGAAACAGGAGTCTATTGTTTATTATATTAATATCTGATTTAATAGAAATTATATATATTAATTTGATATTAAAATTATGCAAATATATAGTTGCTTAATAAATACTGTATAGATTAGTTTTTTGTTATTTGTTTGTTGTATGTAATTTTTATGTAATATGATATTTGTTACATAATATATCACGAAAATGTTAAATTTTCAATATTATATATATATATAAGAGCAAAAGAATTTTTAATCTCAAAATTTTAAAATCAAAACTTTCCTTTTTGTAAAAATTAAATCACGCTTGCAAATGATATAAAATAGTATAATATTTCTTTGCTTGTTGGAAAGTCAAAAATTTCTCTATCGTTATATCAAACAATTTATCATTAAAACATTATTAGACGAGGAGGAAAAGTTAGGACTCAACCGGTTTTTCAAATAAAAGCGAGCAACTTAGTAAATCAACATCACCCATAAATCTAAGTATTAAGAACCGCTTTGTTTCCCTTGCAATGTCATTCACTTGTTCTTGGTTATTTAGATCGCTACTACCAAAATACCAGGCCAATACAATCGCTAACTGGTAATAGTGCAGAAGAAGCCGACTTTGACAAAACATGTTTTTTTCTATTGAAAAAAAAAGTGCCAATAGTATAAGAATAAAAAAAAAAAAAAATTGTTCAAGACTTGTACTAGACGATGCACGATTTTAAACGAATTTAATGAATGAGCGAATAAGTAGAGTATAAAATGAATACTCAATAAACAATGAACAATTGAAGGTCCTACCGTTCAATTTCCAGGGCAAATATAAGATTTCTTCGAAACGGACTCATCGATAGTTTGCATTTTTATCTATTGAACACAAAGTGCGTAATTTTGCTCGTCAGCAATTAATTAACAGAAACATTTAGGGACGATAAAAAATATCTGAATAATATTGGCGTTAATTACATAAGCTGTTAGGTCGATTACGATTGCTCTGTATGATTTATTCCGAGACGCGAATACGAGGAATAGATTTCGGAATATTAGCACAAACGCCTGTCAAACGCCTAAATTTTTCCATAAAAATTATTAAGGATTTTCCGGATAATTCATAAGCTAATGAATAATACGAAGACTTAAAAAAAAGGTTTGTTCTACGTTTCTCTCTCTACGTTACTCCCTATGACGTGTAAATGTGCGTAATTAAAACAACTGCCTTAAGATCAATTAATGTTCTTGAGAGACGAATAAATAATAGTAGTCGTATGCTTTAACTAGGCTAAATGATTGCAATGATTATATCAATAGTATAAAGCTGACACGACAAAATGCCCGACAAAATGTGAATCTATGTAAACATTTTAATTTCAAATTTTAGATTTATAAATTAACCATTCGTACGAGCCGCTGCTTAAGAAATATGTAATGTCAGATTATGTATCGATTGATAAATTTTATCTACATCATTATAGCAGTATCGATTATAAGCACGTGCTCTTAAGAACAAACGTTTTGTTTAAAACTTTGATCGAACGGCTTTCATAAATTTAATTTAAATTGTTAAAAAAAAAAAAAAATAAAAAAAAAACAACAACAACAACAACAACAAGAAAACATAAAGGTCTAGCGTAGTACATTAGATGAAAAACCACCAATTGATACTTAAAATATTTAAGTTTTCGTAGAAAATGCAATTTGAAAGGATATTTCTTTAATTGTTCGACTATAATGATTGCGCCAAACATATTAGAGAACTTTTCTAATTAATCAAATTAATATTATAGTGAATAAATGCCTAATGCATATTGTAATAGTGAACGTAAAAAAGTAAAACGATAAAAAAAAAAAAACATAAAAAATATATATGTTTAAATTTGACATTATCGTCATACATTAAATCGTCATGTATAATTTTAGAAAATAGTAGCAAAATACCCATTTAATGCAAAAATATTAATAATAATAAATTTTTTAATTATGATATACATTTTATAGTTATGATTATGATGTAAATTTTAAAGAATATTTTTCGTAGTATCCGAATGGGGTTATTCACGTATATTAAAAAACATGAAATTTATTATCTGAATTTGATTTTCCTTTTTGGTCTTGTAAACGATGAAAGAAATATCAATCAAACTCAAAAATCAAAGATTTTATTCCAATAAAATGATAATCAATTGTAAAATATTTTCAAGTAAATTGTTTGCATTATTTCTAAAGTATTAGGTCCAAAGTAATTTGTCACTTTAAAATCTTAAAAAACAATTGTATTTTATATAATTGATTAAACTTATAGAGTAGCGATGTTAATATTGAACGATAATAATCTTATAAGAATTTATAATTATGAAACAGAACAAGTAAACATGGGACAAGTGGTGGTGATTTTCTTATCTCTGCTTGTGATGTCGTGTTCAACCAATCAACAATATCAGGATATATTTTTAAAACCTCGACTATCCACAATAAATATGAATGTCGAAGCTGAATTAACATGTCTCGACAACCATCCGACTCTCGCAAACTATTTCTCATGGGCTGATTACGTTGTCCTGGGGGCAATGCTTATCATTTCCTGCCTAATCGGGACATTTTACGCTTGTTTCTCGAAAAAGCAACAGACGAGCGAAGACTTTTTACTGGGTGGATCGGACATGGGCACTTTTCCTATGGCCATGTCGCTCGCTGCTAGTTTTATCACTGCTATCGAATTACTGGGTAATCCAGCCGAAATGTATGAATATGTAAGTTAATTTATTAAAACATTTATTTCTCAATGTACTCTTATTTATTTATTTATTTTTGGATCTGGAGATTGATTTATATACATTTTTGCTTCTCTTTACATTATCTAATTATAAAATAAAAATAGAAAAAAATAATGTACTTTTTTTTTTTTTGTTTTTTTTTTTGTTTTTTTTTGTTTTTGTTTTGACTCTCACGCTACAACATTCGCGATAATGTTTAACAATTCGTAGTGGGCGCACTATTTAACGTTAAATAGTGCATATTTTGGGCCTTTCAATGCTGCCTATCATTATCAATAGCAATACTTCAATGCCGAAACATCGGTCAATTCAAAACAAATGCACAATTCCTCGCGCTTTTTAATCCGGTTAAAACGTAACGCTATGACGAAACATATTTGTCTTAATTGTCTCTGTAGAGATCGAAAAACGTAGCGCAAAAGCACGCAACGATGATCGAAAGTCTTTCTACTTATACTCGTGACAACTGATGGGCGCAATAACCCTTAATAGATGCGAATGAATTTGCAGGGCACGCAATTTTGGATGATTTGTCTGGCATTCGTGTTAGTAGTGCCAATAACCTCGCAGCTCTACCTTCCAGTATACATGAAGCTGAGATTGACGTCAAGTTATGAGTATCTTAATCTCCGCTTTAATCGACACTGCAGACTTTTGGCCAGTGGACTCTACATGCTGCAAATGATCCTTTATACATCCGTGGCTGTTTATGCACCAGCACTGGCTCTAAGTCATGGTAATTATCTCCTCCTCCTCCTCCTCCTCCTCCTCCTCCCCCCCCCCCCCCACCAATCGTCACGCTTATATTTGCTTTTACGCTATTTTCTTCTCACGTTGAATAAAATTTTTACAGTTACTGGCCTTAATACTTATGTAGCTGTAACTCTAGTCTATGTTGTTTGTATATTTTACGCTTCACAGGTAAGTACTCGTTTCAAATACATAATAAATATATCACCGATTATCTTGCCGGATTGTAGAAAATATGAATAAGAAGAACGTTTATAAATTTTTCATAAATTTTGTAAAATATCGTATGAGTATAATTTAACGTAATTGAAAAAATTTTCTGCGATGGAAAAGTAATTTTCAATAACTATTACATAATGAACTTACAAAAAAAGTCGTCTTGTCGTGTGTGTTTTCTCTCTCTCTCTCTCTCTCTCTCTCTCTCTCTCTCTCTCTTTCAACTGATCATTCAATGAAATGCTATTTCTTGCTAGCTACGAATACTAATTAGCTACTCATTATTCGTAGTTTCGCCTTCAATTACAGCTTATGCGGATTTACATGAATAATTGGGTAGACGAATGAATGGGATAGAGTTCACTTAATAAAATGGAATATATGCACACAGGGAGGTATGAAAGCCGTAATAATGACGGATACGTTCCAAGCGGCCGTACTTGTGGGCTCACTCCTACTCATAGTAATTTGGGGTGCCGTGAAATCGGGTGGCATGCCGATCGTCTGGAACGACAGTCGTAACACCGGCCGTTTCGAGTTCTTCAATATGGACGCGAACCCAACGGTGAGGCACACCTTCTGGAGTGTCGTCGTTGGTGGGACATTTTACTGGACGACGATGTTTTGTAGTAATCAAGCGTCTGTTCAAAAGTACCTGAGCGTCGAGAGCATTAGTCAAGTTAGGAAGTACGTTATTTTTTTTTTTTTGAAAGAATTTTATGTAGCCTAGTCGATTGGCATTTGAATATTACCGAATTTTTGTATTAGAGTAGTTTAAAAGTATTTCCCAAGGAATATTTGATTGTGACGAGTTATTAAATGTTTCGAAAAGACTTAAATTTGGATTATTCACGCGTTAATTGCGTATTGTCTATTCTTGTAAATTTTTTTATTCTTTTTTATTCATTTATTTATTTATTTTTTTTTTTTTCGACAAACACTTGTCTCCTGTAATTCTTACAATTAATATTAACATAATTAATAATAACATAATTAATAATGGTAAAATTCAAATAATAATTAACACTTTTTAATAGTAAATTACATTAGCTAATAAAATACTATTCAAAGAAAATTATAACAATAAAAAAGAATGTTGAATAAGCAAGATTTTTCGTTCATTGAATATCTTTATTTAATAGTCGAAATTCTGAACGATTATTGCTAATGAATTAAATAGGGTTTATAAACAAAAAATTTATAAGACGAATGCTTCCGCATACGTGGCTTACATTGTCATAATAAATAATATTTTCCTAATAACAGCAATAGAATTACTTTCTACTTTAGCGCTAGTGAATGTAATATTAAGCATTAATAGGTCTAAAGTACGTCATCGATTCCATTTCTAGAGCATTGTGGGTATCTTCCGTCGGCTTGATCTTGATCTACACAATAAACTTTTTGACTGGGATGGTACTGTACAATGCCTATAAAGATTGCGATCCTGTCCGGGCTGGGCAAATCACAGACCAGGATCAATTGCTGCCACTTTACGTAATGAATTTCATGGGCAATGCCAAAGGCGTTCCTGGATTCTTTGTGGCTGGAATTTTCGCCGCTTCGCTTGGGTAGACATTCAATTATTATATTGAGCGATCCTTCGTACTGAATGCGAATATGAATTCTCGTATGTAATGGATTAATTTATGTTTTACCACAAGTATTTGCTTTCTTTTTATTAAACGTAAGGAATTGTAATAATTGCGTTGAATGCTCGATCTTATGATTGTTTGCACTTATGACAGAACCGTGGCAAGCGCCATGAATTCCCTTGCTGCTATAACGTGCGAGGACGTACTCCAGGGTCTATTAAAAATCGATGTTCCTGCGAGTAAAGGAGCCGTATATGCTAAATGGATAAGCATCTTTTTCGGCATGTTGAGCTTTGCTCTAGTGTTCGTCGTCGAGCGTCTCGGCAGTATTCTTCAGGTAATCCTTAAATCAGGAACGGTCAGATGTGCGAGTTCCCCGCAACCGAAATGACGTAAACACGTAAATGGCAACGATCTAATTTCACAATTCTAATGTGACAAATTAGAGACTAATGCCAACGACCGACAACAGCAAAGCGTTACGTAACGTTATTAATGTACGCCAATTCGCCCAATAAATATCAGACGATTGCCAAATTTCATAATTCTCACTTTTGTAATTGATGGGTGGAAAAACCATCCGATCATTTAATTGACGAATAATTTCGACAAAACGGACTTTCCTATACAACGATTGAAAATCATTGGCCGATTTGAAAATCAAGATGACGAAACCGTAGATTAAATGTGGAAATCTCGTGATTTATTCAGGTAGCTCTTTCATTCAACGGAATGGTGGGTGGCGTTACACTGGGCCTATTTTCACTTGGAATGTTCGTCCCCTGGGCAAATGCGAAAGGAGCAATGAGCGGCGCAATCGTGAGCCTCATTTTCGTCCTGTGGGTTGGACTTGGCGCCCAGATTTCTGTCCTCCGTGGACAAATACATTTGGACAGTAAGCCAACATCCATAGACAATTGTCTCTGCCTCAACGAGACCATCGCCACAATCGTCTTATCGGCTCAATCCGATGAGCAGGGCGAAGCTTGGTTTATTTACAAGGTAAGTGCTTTTTTTACTACTTACTTTCTCCGTTTTTACAACAATTTTTGTCATTGTCCAACAATTTTTACAAAGCACGTATAATTTTTACGCACTGTTGTATGAAACTTGGGACTTAAAAATCTCTGCTAATAATGGCCTCATTTACATATTAACAATTGCAATTAAACGACAATGTAGATCCGACGTAAAAGAGCTTTACTTAAAAAGTTCCTTAAACTTTCGAAAAAGTGTCTGTAGTTTAATAACAAGTATTATTTTCAGATAAGTTATTTATGGTACAGTGCAATTGGTTGTGTGGGAACGATGTTCATCGGTATCCTGGTGAGTTATGCCACGAATTTTCAAAACCCCGCGGAGCTCGATCCTGATCTTCTTAGTCCACCAGTACGCAGATTTTTCAGCTCGACGAAAACGAAGTCACAGTCGGGCCACGCCCTGGGTATAATAAATTTTGCTCTCGAAATAGATGACGAGAAGTCAAAAATTGAGACCAACGGTAGCGCCGACAAGCCAAAGTAGTTATAACGTCTAAATTTTTGTTATTCTTAGCAAGAACATATATGTACCTGATGACTCTTAAATCATATTCGAACAAGACTTGGCTGATCCTCCATTACGGGGATAATAATCCTAGATTTACGTAAAATCGTTTATACTTATTAAAGAATATTTATTACGTGCTGCATGAATGTAAATAAAAGTCTTCGTAATGAAGGCTCAATGAGCATGTGCTCCTCATTTCATGAGATAGAACTATTTCCGTTTACTTTTTCTTTAAAATACGAGCCGAAAGTATGTAGCTCATCGTTTTGTAAGAATAAGTAATGGTATTTGCATTTCATTGCAAATCTACCACATCGAAACCGCCCGAATTATAATTAAAATCATTAGTGTTTTATTCCCTTCATTTTAAACGTATAATAAGACATATGATATGCTCTAAGTGAAACGATTCTTTGGAAAAGAATATATTCGCACAGCCATATATATATATATATATATGTATATATATATATATATATATATATATATAGAAATATCTATAGATTAAATATACGTACAAATTCATATTATTTAGAATCACTTCACGTTGGCTACGTATGATGAGTTATCGGTTGGAGTAATTCTATGAATATTTCTTTTACGATATTCGACAATTAAATTAAATTATCAAGAGTGTGACATTCACAAAATCAATAATTCTATTCTCTGTTTAATTTATTATGATCTTTAGATGCCTATAATTAAAAAATATTTAATAAGTATTATGTCTGCTTTCTCCATTGAGAATATAATTGTTAAATATTCAAGAATATTTATATGTTACAAATATTAATTTAATTAATATGGAACTGAAGTATTCCATAATTTTTAATCTTCTAAGATTTACAAAGAGAAAGAGTAATTCTTAAATTTTCTAACTAACTAAATGAAACTATGAAGTTGCATATCTTTTATTTTAATGAAAATCAAGAACCAAATATAATAACTTAATTTTAAGGAATAAAGAAGCACGATCGAATATATATATACAGAAAATTTTATTTCGATTAATTCTTTAAATAATTAAATATTTCGTCTCTAGTTTTAACAATACTTGCTTAAATATCCGAAATTTTTTATAATCGTATTCGAACGTAAAAAATTATTATATCCTGTTTTTAAGGTTAGTGAAGAAAGATATTACTGTCACTACTTCTATTTATCATAATAATTATTAATATTTTTGATAGCATGGATTTCCAATTTAAAATTCTTAAATAAATAGGAATTTCAAATCATGAATTTATTGTGAACTAGTTAATAAGTATTTAAGTGCCTATAATTATAACATTTAAAATGAATTTTATGGTTAATACGAATTAAAATAAAATTTATTCATTATAATGAATTATAATTTTAATAGAAAAATGCGCAATTTCTTTTATGAATAAGAGGATTAATGTAACTAATTGTTACGATACATTTATAAATTTCAGGCATGAGTTCGCTAATATTTTTTCTCAATTAAATGTATGAATTTTTATTTTAATAGAAGATTTCCAGTGAAATGTTCAATTTTGTTTATTAACACCAATAAATGTAGAATCATATACGTATGATAAATTATGTAAATAAATGAAATTATATTTTTCATTCAATTAAAGTATTTAACTACTTTTGCTTTGTCGTATATACAATGGTTTCATAATATAAAATAAATAATTCAAATAAATAATTAAATAAATAAATATTAAAGGTCGTTTCAATATTTAGCCATTAAATATTATTTAATGATAATCAATGCGTTGGTTTTCACAACTTTTCACGATAATCAAATAATTGTTTATGTATAAATATTGTATGATCCAGTATATTAATTTAGATCAATGTAAAATTTATAAAGATTTATTGTTAGTATTATGAATGTTTGTAATTAATGGTCGTTAATAAATAGTAAATTTAAAAATGAGGGAGAAATCGAAAAAACAATATCACTTTACTTGGTGAAAAATTGAATTTGTTATTTTTATAACCAATACTTTTATCAACTTTATATGCATTATCTTTTCGCTTTATTTGTAGCTTCATTGTTAGATAATAAAATGAAGTATCTGTTTTTTACTTATGGAAGAGGCTCTACTTTAAGACTTTAATCAATGGTAATACTTCATTACATATGTACACATGTACATTCGTACACTCATATATATATATGTGTGTGTGTGTGTGTGTGTGTGTGTGTGTGTGTGCGTATATATCAATGAACATTCAAACATACTTAAATAATTTTCGGTATTGATGAATAAATTATTATCTTTCTGTCATTATTCAGCTTTTCATCCACATTATCATTTTTCTATAAATTTCTAAAAGGCAATTTCCATGGAAATGAATGATCATTCTTTACTTTTAGCGTAAGATTATGTTCATTAAAATAATTCAAATCTCTATTATAGCATGATATTTTTAAACTTTATAATGAAAACTTTTGCAAATTGTTGATAGTACGTTTATATTGATTTGGTTATTTCTTCAATTTCTTTAATTGCATTTATTTATTTATTTTGTTTTCTTATAATTTTCTCCATATTTGTATTACAAAACTGATAAATTATCTCATTTTATCAGAATTAATAGTTAAAAATCATTTTTTTCTAATAAATGAATAATAATTATTATAATTTGTATTCTTACGCTCGTGATTGGTATTTATTAATTTATTATGAGTATTTATGATGTACGTATGCATTAAATTTTTTCTTCAAAATACGTTTAATAGTATACAATCAATTTTACCATTATGATATATTATTTTATATTATTAAGATATATTATTAACGTATATTATTCTTATCTAACCTAATATCAAGTAATTGAGATACATAAAGAATTAAAATAGTAAGCTAATAATTTTAAAATTGGAATTAAAGTTAAAAATCAATGCCGAATGAATACGAGTGTGCAAAATTTATGTTATTAAATGTATTGTTTCAGGTGATTCTTGTCTAAGCTTTTTGAGAATTGATGACTGATATGATCGCATTCGAGGGAAATATTCATTAAATTTAACTCATTTCTAACAAGTCATTTTCATTACTGGCAATTCAAGTTCATCTACAGAAATCCAAGAAATTCTATTTTATGACACAGTCGTCAGGTCCTACCCTATGAAATATTCATATACACAATAATTTCTAGTATAACTTATTCGTTGTAATTAATATGTACATTCGTTTCGCACTTAAATAAGCTGTAAGTTTTCGTTATTCACAAAAGAAAACAAACATTTGACTACATTGTAATTACGATTTTAGTAATATTCCCAGCGTTAAAAATGTAAATATTATCTTGCGTGTATATATTTCAATTTATAAATAAAATATTGTACTTATAAATTAAAATATTTATAAGCTTTAAAGTGTTCGATGTAATTGAAATAAATTGTTTAATATATGTGAACATGCGTAAAAAATATTTTAATACATTGTATTTCTTGTACTTATATATATATATATATATATATATATATAAATTATCAATGTCATTGAATATGAATGCGTATGATTGTTGTTCGTCAAAACATTTAAAAAAAAGTATACTTTTTTTATAAGAAATCTTTGACCAAATCGATTAGAGGTATATAAAATGTTTAGTGTTAATAAAATAAATAATAAGGAATAAACTAGGCGATGAAATAAGAAATTGAAAAGATCCAAACAAGTCTATGAAATATATTTAATAGATATTTAAAAATATTATATTGAAAGGAAAATCGAACCAAATATTGATTTAAGCTTTTTCCAAATATTATATCGAATGAATGAAAAATTATTATAATCATAAATTTACAAAAGTATATTTGAATATTATAAAAGTGCGACTGAGTGATAATAATTAAATAATTTGACAGGACAGAGACAAATTTATGAATAATCTTAATTATAACGAGGCATTTAAGACAATAATATTTATGTTTAATATAGTACAAATTATCATTCGTTAAAATTATTTATTATAACAAACATAAGATTACTTTCCGATATTTAAACAAAATATTAAATGTGCTGGAATTTCCTAAATATGTATTTAAATAGTTGTAACTAAAAATAAATTGATACGGATTTAGATAGTCTGCATATACAAGATGCAAGAAACATCTTGACCGCGATAATTAAAACTACCATTTCTCGTTATATTTGATGAGAAATTTTGAAGGAATAAAAAGGCTAAATTAATAAAAAAAAATAAAAAATAAATAAATAAATAAAAGAAGAAGAACTTATGGCCATATCGGTAAATCCTGTTTAAAAAACCTATCATAAGAATTGTACATTTTAAGACACACCGAGCATGTAAATACAAAAATTATTTATATTGGGAAAAGGAAATGCAATCGATTCAAGTTTCCTGACAATCAACAAGTGCGATGTATTTTATAAGAAATTTTTAATTTTTAACATCCACCACCTGACACAGTTGCGATAGAAAAATATAAGCGCAGGTAAGTAGGGAGATGGAGCGAGTGTGAGTTGCGAGAGTGGGAGAAAAAGAGAAAGAGAAAGGGGCAACTGTGAGAAGGTGGAGTGAGAAGGCTCGAAGCTTCGGATGCGGTGAAAGTGGATCGATAGTAGCGTTAGTAGCGTATGAACCGCGCTTTCGTTTGCACGTAGCCGACGGCGTCAACGACGCCTCCTCCAAAAGTTCCGAGGAGCCATTTAAAGGGAATAGAGTTCGCGAGTGTTGAGAAAAATCGCATGACAAGTGGTGACGCTCGTGCTCTTGGAGGTGAGGATGAAGGCCCAAGGGACAATGACCTTGCAAATTGGAGGCTCGTGAATGTCGTGGAGCCGGTGTGCTATCGCGCATGTGCGCTCGCGCACAGCCGGTAATGTCGGAAACAGCTGTGAATTAGGTCGAGGTTACATACAGCAACCTCTTCACGTCCGGAGCACTGCCATGTTTATGTTTTTATATCTTACGCGTAAGTTGGACATTTGTAAGTTTTAATACGAGTCGGCTATTCCCTTGTGCCGAACACATGATGACGGTCCCATTTTATAATAATTTATGCAAGAATTTCTCTTTAACCCCTCCATCCCCTCCCCCGTACCCCACCGCCACCACCTCACCAAACTAGGATCATAATGGGAGGTTGGAAAATTAACAATAATAGGTAATTTGATTAATTTGTTTGTTATTTTCTTGCTGCTGTTTTACTATGAGCTATCAGTATTTCTAGGTATGGTTAACCTTTTACTATAAATCATCTCAACTCATTACACGTAGTTGTAATATATATGAATTTTTGTTAACAAGTAATTGCATATAAAAACAGATATAATAAACAAAATGTAAATAAAAATAATTAATTTAGAATTATTGATAATGTTAAGGTATTTGTTTTTGAATAATATTTGCCTTTACAGCATTTATTATATTATTACAGAGAAACATTCTATGTATTAATTTTTTATTGGCAATATGAATTTCCTATCTACGTACATGAATTTTCTTTTATAATAATTGAGGAACGGACGCGACAATTAGTTTTATGTCGGTAAATTTCGAATTTTATAATTGAAATTTTAATTGAATGCAGCAACCACATACATATAGCAAGAAAATCGTTAGAAAAATTTTATCTCCGAAGAAATACTTAATATTATTGATAAATGAATGCGTGTTATTTCAAGGTAATTTTTTTTTTAATAATAAATTTTAACATTTCATGTATTTATAAAGTAATTTCGAGTTCAAATTGGATTCAAATTGGGTTCAAATGTTTATTATATTTAACGTAATAAGCAGTTAAGTACGAAGACACGATAGAACGATAATAACTTCCATTTTTTATTAATATAAAGGTAATATGAATTTGACAAAATACAAAGGAAATAAATTAACCAAATTCAAATAGCTTAACCGTAGATGTTTGTTTTATTATTTTGTTTCAGTAAAAATGCATCCTTTATCATTACAATAAATTAAATGATAAGAGCAGCTTGCAATGCGCAGTTATTATATTTTTGACAATCAAACATTGTTAACGGTAAATATAAGTTATTCTAAATAAAAGTATAATTAGGATGTTAAGCGTGAATAATGATTATAATTCAATTGCAGACGAATCTTAATGAGTATAATTGATGATAGCCAAGTGATATGTCAGAAAATTCTAAAAATCATAATAAATGTTCGAGTTTCCCAATATGAAGAGATTTGACATAGTGTGCCTTTATTTTCCACGTTTGTCGATCATAGCTTCGCTCGTGATTTATGCCGCTCTACTGCTCGTTTACTATTATCATAAGTTACCACTCAGAAACGGCGAGAGGACGAATTCATTACAAAAACAGAATAGTATTATCACTAGCCATGACATGGAAAAGCTTCTATTCGAGCTTAATAAAAAAAATGTCGAGATGCAGAACGATGAAAATATGCCCGGTAAACTATCGGATTTGAAAATGGAGGTCGTAGAGAAGAGGACGAGAGAGGATTCCCGAAAGTTAATGGAGAATATCTTTCTTAAGGCAGATATTAATGGAGACAGTACTTTGGATATTAAAGAACTGTCCAAATGGATTCATACAAAAATAATAAATCATATTAAATGGACTATGAAGGATAATATTGGACTGTTCACAGCCATTGACAATAATCCACGAGACGGTAAGATATATTAATCACTGGTTTTTTTTTTATTATTATTATTTTTTTTTTATATTTAATTTCCCACTGTTTTTCAACGCGTCAAATAACTGATACACGATCATTCACAAGACAATTCCTTGGAGCTTGAGAATTGATAAATCGGAAAACTTTGCCAAACTACTTGTGTCCCGACAGCCTTTACCATTCGCCACTCTGTCGCGTTTACGCAATTTGCAGAAAATTTGCAGAAAATTTGCAGAAAATGGCGATCTCATTGGGTGATTTTTATCTTAGGCGAAATTTCTTGGGACGAGTACCATGCTCACTTTTTACGCTCTCACGGCCTGTCGGACAGTTACATATCATCGCACGATAAAAGGCATTCGGCACTCTCGCGATCACTCAAGGAGGCGATAATGCGTGACCGAGCAAGATGGATGGATGCTGCGTGCAACGACCCGGACAAGCTCGCCCTCGACGAGTTTCTCGCCTTCACGCATCCCGAGAGCAGTCATCGGGCGATCTTGCGAATGGTTGAAGATCTCTTAGAGAAGTTTGGTAAATGTGCCTTCTTAAAATGGATCGATTTCTATAAATTGCGGGTATTTATTATTTAAATTACATTCATGTATCATTAAACTGCGGGCATTTAAAAATTAGTAATAACATTAAATATCGCTCGTAAGCTCGTGAATTCTCTTTGAGTCGATCATTCGCTGCTAATTGCAAACGAATAAACTGGTTATATGGCATAGAGGCGAGGGAACGTTTTTTATTTTTATTATTTTATTTTATTTTTTTATCTTATCTTAAGAAAGGAATGAAATAAATATAAGAAGTGAAAAAGTTTGTTAAAATAAAATGAAAGCTTTGTATGAATTAATTGAAATTATGCTTAAAATTATGAGTCTGCCGACTGTGACGTATTCGTATCATTATTATTATCGAATCATGTACTTAACAAAGTTGTATTTTATTAGATCGCGATGGGGATGAACAGCTGACGGAAGACGAATTTTCCGATTTGCCGTCGGAAGGTGCCAGCGTCAATCAGAGTATCTC